GTCACTTGTTTTTTATAAATTAAAAACTACATATGTAGTTTATCCTTTTAAGTCCTTTTAATCCTTTTAAGCACCATGTTTACATAAAATGAAACCATAAATTGGACGAATCGATTTCATATATATCTTATATTTTTAGGAAGCAGCAGCCAAAGCAGCTGCAGAGCAAGCAGTGGAGATGGATGTTGAATCAGATTCTGATGAAGAACATCAAGAAATTCGCAATGAAGTAGGTTCTTTTAGCATTCATTCATTATATTGCTGAGCGTCTAATAAAATATTTTAAAAAATAAGGTTTGTCCGTCATGCAAAATCAAGAAATCTTTATAAAATTAGTTCTTTGTTTATAATAGTTAGACATGGACATTAGACATTAATAAGTTATTTCTGAAATAAAATTGAAAGTATAGCAAATTAAGATATTAAGAAAGATTTAAATGCTATGTATGAATACAACTGATATCTTTGTTTAGGTTCTTAATGGTGAAGTGGAAGATGGTAATGCTGACCATGAGAAGAAAGCTCCATATGAAGTGACTCAACCAATGCCTGCACCACCATCGGAAGATACCGTTGTAATTAGAGATTATGATCCGAAGAAATGTTTGTTTTTATCTTTTATTTCTTGTTTTTTGAGTGACTGAAGTTCTGCTGTATATGCTCAAGTTGCTGAAATTATTTGAAAAAAAAAAAAAGATGTTGATTATAACTGTAACCTGCAGAAATTGCTTGAAAAATAGGAGTGAATAGGCAGAAATGAAAGAGATCTACGAAAAACGAAACTAGAAAGGGCGCTTTTATATGATCTACCAAATAACTTTCATGAGAGAATCGAAATTTGATTACTCCATTAGGACTTGTATTCATTTGTTTTTTTAATCGCTTTATGTCGACATTTCGAATTATAAGTTGTAAGCTGGTTTAATATTTGATCTTTCACTTTGGTGTTTATTCGATTGTTTCAGCAATAGCTGCACGAAAAGCTGCTGATAAATGGATTATTTCACCTCTTACTGGTGAACGTATACCTGCCGATAAATTGCAAGAGCATATGCGCTACAACACTGTTGATTCGCAATACAAGGAACAACGAGAAAGGTTATTTGAACAAACAAACTTTCTGTAAAAATAATTTTTGATGTGCTCACAATTCATCCTCAATGCTAACTCATCATTTTTTTCCCCAGGGAGTTGTCGGATCGCAATGAAGAAGAACCAGTTTATGCGCCTGGTGCTGATATTAGTACAAATATTGGCAAGTTTGCGGAACGTCGTACTGATATATTTGGTCATGGTGCTGAACAGACGATTATTGGTAAGAAAGTAAGTTTATCTTTTTGGATCTTTTCATTACCCAATTCATTGCTAACCAGGAATTACTAATGTGTTTAGCAGATGGCTTCTTTTGATGGCATAATTCTGATAAACTAATATTTGGTGAGCTAAATCTGAAATAGATTTGCCAAGCAGATCTATTTTAAATTAAATTATTTAATTACTAGATAGTTTGTAGTGGTATTGTTTAAATGAAGAAATCAATGAATGCTCATTGAATAATCTCAGAAATGAAAGCTTTATCTCTTTCTTTCTTATGTTGCTTACATTCTGATTTATTATTTTCAGTTGGGTGAAGAAGAAGAGGCACCACGTGGTCCTGATCCGAAGCTTATTTGGGATGGTCAGCAGTCTACAATCGATCAGACAACGAAATTAGCTCAGCAAAGCGTTACACTAGGTATTTCTTATATAAATCTGGTGAAACATATCGAAATGATTGTTAATATCTAAAGACATGCAATACATAATGAAAATTCTGTCAAGAACTTTATCTGCAATCCTCCAAGCAACCAATCTTAATTAGGATACCTATACAAATTTGATCTTCGTAATTGAAAAATCAGAATTGGATTGTCAAATTATTAATCATTCTGTATTTTCAAAGAAGAAAAAAAGATTTTTATGAAAAAAAGTGAATACTAATGTGAGAAATTTCAGACCAACAGATCAATGAAATTCATAAACAGCATGGATATATTGCTGATCCAAGTAAGGAAAGAATAGGGCCAGGTGCTGTACCACCTCCTCCAATTCAAGCAGTTCCACCACCAATTACGACTGTAGCGGCAGCAGTGGCAATTACAACATCGTCTCCCATCGTTACTACCACAGCCAGCACAACAGCACCAGCTACGGCAGTGCCAAAACCGCCAGTCCCTACTCCACGTCCACCAGTACCTCCTCCACAAACTGCACCAACTCCGGTACCACCAACTCAGACTGTTCGACCACCAGTCATTCCTCAAATTCCCATCCGACCACCACCACCTGGGTTTGTAATTGTTCTTTCTTTTCAAAATCATTGTTAATTATGTTTTTATTGTTAAATATTGGCGGTAAAAGTATTGCAGCATAAGTTTCGCTGTTTCCCTTCAGATAATAAATCGCGTAATAGATTGATAACAGGAAAATAATTGATGTGCTAAATGAAGTGAATGTTAATGGTATAAAAAATAAGTCAAAAAATAATTTCAGATTCCCTACAATACCTTTTCCGGGTGCACCAATGCCAATGCCACCGATGCCAATGCCTGTCATGAGAGTTAGCTCATTTTGATTTTTTTTTTCAAGGAATTCTACTTGATGCAGATTTATGCAGACGTATTTAACCTCTTTTAGATTCTATCTTCGAAGGCTATTAAAGCCTGGTTCCAATAGCTCAATATTATTTTTCAGCCACCAATTGGAGTCCCAATGATACCAGTTCCGGTAATTCCACAAACACCACTTACCGTTCGTCCGGCAGGTGCACCAGTAACAGCTCCCATTCCACCGCCCGCAACTTCAACTACTCCTACAGCTGATACAAATTCAACTATTAATACTCCAGTTGGAGATGGACCTCCACCTGCCAAAAAGGCCCGAACAGAAGATGATCTTGAAAGTGAAGCTTTGTGGCTTACAAAGGTATGATTTATGTTGTTTATGCAAATCAAAATCATTATAAGAAATATAAAACTTTGTATACAAAACTAAGGAAACTACCATAATCATAGTAATGTATTATTTGTTTAGGTCACCGGATCAATTACAGTTACTGTCCAGATACCTAGCACTGCTCCTAATCCAGACTGGAAACTTGACGGGCGACGACTAAGTGTTTCTATGGATATTGCTGCACCGGTATGTTTAGAATTTTGTTAATTTCTATTCCTGAACTTTTAACAGTCTGAACCATGAATTTTTAATTTACGATCAAATAAACTAAATGGCAATTTCAGGTTTCTACTCTAAAAAGTTTCGTGCAAGACGAAACTGGATTACCATGTTCAAAACAGAAGCTGTCATATGAGGTAAGGTTTTCTAATTAATCATAGTGAGATCTTAGTCGAAGTATGAAATCTAAAAATCTTTAATGTCATCAAATTCAAGGTCTGTTTATGTCAACTGCCGTATTTTAATCCTTTCTTTTTTTTAAAAAAAAAAAAAAAAAAGCATTTTTTACATTTAATTTTATAAAGTGACATCAATTTCAGGGCTTGTTTTTAAAAGATGCATGTACGTTAGCATATTACAATATGAATACTGGAGCTGTAGTGCAGTTATTAATCAAGGAAAGAGGTGGTAAGAAGAAATAATCAGGGAAAGAATATAATAAATCTTAATTGTCAATTTCATACAATCATTCAGAATTCATGATGAATTACATTTTGCTGAATAACAAATTTGTTTTTTTGCATAGATGATTTTTTAGTGGATCATCTCTATTGATTAAATATAATTTCAGAATTGTTTATGATGAATCTCATCTACCATTTTTGCATTATTTTTTTTATCTTTTCTTAAATCCCTTATTCTGTTTAATATTTTTCCTGTTTAGCCAAAAATAAACTGGCTAGTGTATCATAGGATTTTTTTCCTTTGTGTTTACTTTTGTTGGTGACATATGAAGTAATGAATTGATTGATATTTGCTATTACCTCATAGTGACATACTATTAATATGAATTCATGTTAGTAGTAGTGTAACGAAATAAATTGTGACCATTCGAGAGTACTTGATACACTTTACTTTTTACAAATAATTTTTTACACATTGAATGAAATAGATTTACAGTAAAATTGAATTTGAGACATTTAAATTTTCCACAATTCTGTTTATAAATTGCAATCTTCCATTTCATTCCATACCCAAAAAGAGAGGAAACGAAAAAAAAAATGAGAAAGCCCTCATAGAAGATATTAAAGTGAGGAATTACATTATTAAAGGAAGAAAAAAAAGACATCTAGGATGAGTGAAAATAAACAAAAAAAAAAAAAAGATGGAAGCGAACAATGTTTACATCTGATGGTGAGGTACAACTGTATTGCACTGCGCTCAGCACATCAGCAATTTATAATACAGCAAAGAGAGAATCAAATAAGGAATATATTTGTTTAATTTCAAATAATAAAATATCGCAATAATCGGAAATGATAAAAGATTAGCAATGAAGTAAAATTTTGCTAATCATTGATTAGCAAAGATTCGATCAGACAAACAGTTTGAATTTTAATAATAATTGTTTTGAAGTTGTTTACATTATTGTTATGATTCATCCTTTCCAATTAGTTTAATTGGATCTAATAATCGTAAAGGAAATCGATTTAACAGACATACAAATAGAATGAATTTTGAATTGTTGTTTATGTCAGTAATTTTACGAAGATTTGATAGTTTGTTTGAATTTTTTCAGGAAATTCAAAAACTTCTAAAATATTGAAGTGTAAAAAAAAAATTGTGTTTACGATAAAGTGAACTGAATTTAAAATTGTCAAATTTAAATCAAAACATTTTAGATGCTTAAATTTCTATGCTTTTTTCTTTTTTTTTTTTTTTTGTCAATAAATTTTGATTGAATTTTCTGCAAATAATATTTTATACATCAAAAATACCATCCCACTTACTTCAATCTTCAACTATTTCAATAAGTGAAATAAATTGTTACTATCATTGCTTTTCATCTAGCCGCGTCGTGAATGCTTCAGTAAGCCAAGTTCCTTAATTGCTTTATACTGATCAGGTATTTCCATCAGTGCATTAAGAGCAAATGATGCTTCCTGATTTGGTGCATTGAACATCACCTGAAAAAGTATAAATTTAAATTTAAAATGTTAAAATTGTGAAAATAAAGAAAAAAAAACGAAGAATCACTTATTTCTCATTTTGCCATTTTTTAATGCCTCAACAATTTTATATCAAATTAAATTTCTGTTAAGAATATTGAAAAAAATTATATATTTTTGAAAGTACAACGATTATCCAAAGTAATAATAAGATTTAGATTTTCAAATTTTTCCTCTTATATGTTTAAAAAAAAAAAATAAATATTATATTTTAAGTTATAAATCATTTTTTTTTTTTTTTTGTTTTTATGAATAACAATAGTAAGTTTTTTTGTAAATTTAATAAGAGTAATAGCTTACTTTATGAAAATCAACAAAATGAAAATTATCAAACATTCGTTTCGGTAATGTTTCATCAAATCTGGTCATCATATTCCATGGTCCATCACCAACGCCAACCCTGAAGAAATGAAAAATTTGAAATTTTTTTTAGTCTAATTCATTCGTTATTTTATTTAAGATTTCAAATTTGTAAAAAAAGAAAATTTGCTTTTTTTTTGAAAATTTGAAAAAAATTATAATTGAAAATTTAGTTTTGAAATAATAATTGAAAAAAAATAAACAAATAAACGAACATTATAATTGATAATGGATAACGTGATGCTGCAGCAATAGCTTTTTGATTAATCTTTTCATTTGTCACCTGTCCATCAGCAACAATTACCAAAATATGATAGGAATGCTTCTCACGAACAATTGAGACTGCCTTAAAATTCTTTTTGTAAATTCATTAACTTTTTTGAATTATTTAAATTACCTTTTTGTAAATTCATTAACATAAATTACCCTTTTGAATTATTTAAATTATCGCTTTTATAAATTTATTAACACAAATTATCTCTTTGTAAATACATTAACTTTTTTAAATTACCTTTTTAGAAATTCATTAATATTTGCGAATTATTTAAATTACCTTTTTTGTGAATTCATTAACATAAATTACCCTTTTGAATTATTTAAATTATCGCTTTTATAAATTTATTAACACAAATTATCTCTTTGTAAATACATTAACTTTTTTAAATTACTTAAATTACCTTTTTAGAAATTCATTAATATTTTCGAATTATTTAAATTATCTTTTTGTGAATTCATTAACATAAATTACTTTTTTGTAAATTAATTAGCATAAATTATTCTTCTGAATTATTTTAATTATCATTTTTATAAATTAATTAGCAATTGTAAATTATAAATTATTGACTTCAAATATACAATTTTTGTGCATAATTTGTGTAAAATTTGAAAAAAAGCAAATAGTTGAAATGTTAAAATATTATACAATTTAAGTTTAAATTATTTTCATTTCAAAAAAAAAAAACGAAATTTGAAAGGATTGAAAAAGAACCTGTTCAATGAGTGGTACAAAATTTGTTGGACCGGACATTCGAATGGATGGTGTTTTATCATTGTATATTCTTAAAACTTCTGCAAATTTTATCATTTCAAATTAAAATGATAATAATTTTATAATCATTTAAAAGTGTTAAATTTTGAATTTCAAAAAATGTTTAATTTTTAATTATGAAATTTTAATAAAGTTTATTCAAACATCTTAAACATATGTTATAATTTAATAATTAACCTTCAAAACCGTTGCATTCAGCATTTATATCATTTCGATCATTTAAATTAAAAATTCCATGACCACTTGATTCCTCATCACCAAATCCATAAGTTGGTATCACACCATCAGCATCAAATGATGATAATGTTTTTCCAACAATTTCAATTACCTGTAAAAATTTTCAATTTCTTTTATAATTAAGAAATTTCATATCGATAATTTAAAAAGAAAAAAAAAAACAAAAGGATTTTTCTGATTTGATAAATATAATAAAAGATGAAATTTGTAAAAGATAGAGGAACAGAATTTTTACACATAAACATTTAAAGTGTAAATATAATTAAAAAATAAAACCAATTAATCAATATCTATCAATTTGATAAATTAATTTATTAAGTATTCTATTAAAATTTTATCTTTCAATTCGATGATAATTCGATATTTTTAAATGCAAAATTAACTTATGTGCATAAAAAAAAAAAGACAATACCTGTTGATAAGGATTCATTTCATCTGAATTAAGAGAATGTAAATTTCGACCATCAAACGTTCTTTCACCTTGATATTTATTTGATTGTGTATAATCAATTCCAAATATTAAATTCGAATATTCTAAGCCAGCCTAAAAATTACATATTGTATAGCTAAAAGATATACATACTGAAATTTTCGCAACAGTTTAATTCATATATTCATTTATTTATTTGTTTAATTAATTAATTTATTTATTTGTTTAATTAATTAATTTATTTGTTTCATTAGCTAATTGATTATTGACTTTGTTTATCTTTTTTTGCAAACAAATAGTCTTTTGAATTTGATGATATATTTCAATATTTTCGAATTAATAAATTTAATTTTAAACTGTTGCAATGTGATGCTAAACTGATTGAATAAGTTAAATCAGAAATATCACATTTTAATAGAAATTTTAAAATTTACTTTTTTGATACCTTTGATGACATCTTCCAAATTTTTACAATGTGATGTAAGTTAAATGAGAAATATCACATTTTAATAGAAATTTTAAAATTTACTTTTTTGATACCTTTGATGACATCTTCCAAATTCTTATAATGTGATGTAAGTTAAATCAGAAATATGTCATTTTAATAGAAATTTTAAAATTTACCTTTTTGATACCTTTGATGACATCTTCCAAAGTTTTATAATGTGGTATATTGTGCGCATCACCAATTTCCATTGCTAATAATAAGCTATTCCGACGTACTGGTACACTGAAAAGATTAAGTTTAAACTTAAAATTAAACTTTCCAAAAATTTTATGTAAAAAGTTGAAAAAGTATTGTGTATAAAACAAAAAAAAAATTATATATTGCAAATTTCAATTTTGCTATTCTGTTATTTTATATTTTAATATTTTAAAGTTAAAAATTTTTTTATTAGATAGTTCAAAAAAAAACTTAATTTTTTCTTTTTTTCACTTATTTTCAGACGTCAAATATCATAGTGATAAAAATAAAATTATGAGTTAGAAATGAATAAAGTTAGATAATTTAAAATATTTCATATTAATAAAATTCATATTAAAATACTTTAAAAGCATTACATCATTTATGAGTTTAAATTTAAAATTAAGTTTAAACTTAAATTCTCTCTCTCTATCTCTCTTTGTGGTTCTAAAAATATTGCTATTAATGAGAAAATCATTTAATCACTTATCAATAGAAAATTTTTCAATTCAAAAATTTATTATTAAAACAAAGAGAGAGAGAGAAAGAGGGAGAAAGAGAGAGAGAGAGAAAGGGTTATGAAAATTTCATACAAGTTTGGAGCTTCATTTTGTTTTAAAGTTTGCCGACGACCATGTTGTTCCTTTTTCATTGGTTTTTTAACAATTAATGGAATTTCTTGCTGCTCCACTGTTACACTCATATCCATTGACATTGTTTTCTCAGTTACTTCAGCCGCAAAACTTACTCTAACAAGTAAAAATGATAAGTAAATATAGTAATGAGAGTTATATTATTGTTTTAAATATAAATTAAAATTTAGAGTAAAAAATGATTTGAATGAAAATTAAAAAATGTTTGAAATATAATCTAATTAATGCTGAGTAAATAAAAATAATTTTTTTTTTTTTTTTGTTGGAAAGTTTATTATTTTGTTATATATCTAATTATCAAATATTTATTTATTAAATTGAAATAATTTTAGTTATATGTATCTAATTATCAAATATTTATTTATTAAATTGAAATAATTTTAATTGCAAATAAATGTTTAAAACATATTTCTTTTTATAGCAATATATTAAAAAAAGGAAAAATTTTTGAAAATTTTAAAAAAAAAAAAAAAAAAAGAGAAAAAGTACCGTTTTTCAACTTTTTCCTCTTCCACTTCATCTAAACTTTTATGTCGCAATGTCACAACAAGTGATTCCGTACACGTTAATGCTTCACGTTCAATTATTCGTGTTGTTTTTTCAATTTCTACTGCATCATTGTTGTTACGTTGCACATTGTTACGCATCTCTAATTCATGCCGTATAAACGTTTCTTCAGCCGAATCTGTTTGTAAACAAACAGGTAAGCATTTTTGTTTAGCTAATTTTAAAGCACTTTCTACATGCATTTCATTAGAACGCCTACACACTTCCAATTTATCAATTTGTATTGCTATTTCCAAACATTCTGCTGTGTCCAATATTTCCGGTACTGCATTATTTATTTCTTTGACAGTATGGTATTGTTTACTTGTCATATTTTCCTTTTTAAATGATACATCCAAATTGAAAATAATTTCTTCTGTTGCATTTACATTCATTATTATATGTTCACCATAGCATATTTCATTAATTGTCAACAATGTGTCAACATTTTGCATTAGTGATAATTTAGATTGTAAGCAATTATACAGCTCAATGAATGATTCATTTGAAGCATTGCATTGTTTCTCGATTGGTTCACCTTGATTTTTTGCTTTCCATGCAATTTGCGCCAATTCATTATCCAATAATTTTTGCATTGTAACATTTGTTGTTAGCATCATTTCACTGAATTCATTTGTAAATAATTCTTGTGGTGTCACACAATTTGTTATCTTACGAATTACGAATGTCTCCAATTGAGCTAATTTGTTGGATTGTAATTCCAGATGAATATTCCAATGATTTTCTTGTGATGCTAAACAATTTATACTTATTGCTTCACCATCATTTGCTATTTTCCTCGTTATTGTAGCAGATAGTTGTTTTATTGTTTGCTTTAATGTTTCCATAATTGTAATAGCTTCTTCATTTGCATATTTCGTGCTTAATTCCAAATGTCCACCATAACGTATTTCTTTCAAAATAGCCACTTGATTAGCGCTTATTTCTTCCGGTTTTTTCCACAAGAAATTATTGAATAAATTAATTTCTGTTGATTCATTAAATGTACAGCATTGTTTATCACCTTTACGTGATGTATATCTCATCAATTCAACATTTGATAAATCATTTGATCGTTGCAATTGTATATTTGTTGTAATTATATATTCCGTAGCTGCTAATAGTTGACACATTTCAATTGCTCGATTTTTATCCATAAAAATCATTTCTGTTTCAAATTGTTTCAATGCTCGATTATTGTAAACAATTTCAATGCTAATGAATACTTCTTTAGCAGCCAAAGTATTTAAAATTAATGATCCACCAAAACGTGCTTCTGGTAATACTTCTGAAAATGCATCAATAAGTTGATTTTGTCGTTGATATTGCACATTAATAATTTCAGTGATGCTAGTACTTTCAGTTAGTTGAGCAATTATCGGTTCAATTTGATTAGCAATGTGTGCAATGATCATTGTTTGTTGATCAGTAGATGAACAACAATTGAAATGATAATTAAATTGAATAGATAAATCGGTGATTGCTTTTGTTGTAAGTATAGGAGATTCTGTGCTATGACGTGCTGTACGTATGATCAAAATAACATTTTCCAAATTAAAACGTGAAGCAATCAATGAAGCTGTAAACATAATCAATGTTTCTTGAGCATAATTAGTTGTAAATATTAAATTTCCACCAAAATATTTATCACAAATGCATAATTGAGCATTTTCATACATTTCATTACGTTGCCAATATGTTGTAATCATTTCAATTTCATTTGTACATTCTCGAATTGTAATTTTAGCAAATTCATAATTAGCCGTATGCAACGTTGAAATTATTATTTTTTCATTTTCAAAAATTCCTTTCCATTGAAGATGACAATTTTGATTGATTTCATTAAATTCACTTGATTGCACTGTTAATTTGCATGGTTTTGCAATATTTGCAATTATCTGCTGCAAATATACATCTGCATGCATTAAATGCTTGCATATTAATTCTTCATTAATATTAGCAGTAATCGTACTTACTGCTAATGTTTCCAATTTTTGTTTACCACCATAAAATGCAACAAATTTGATCATTTCAATTTCTTCATGCTCATCCTTATGTTGATATTTTACAATGATATTTTCTGCTTGCAAAATAATTTCTTTTACAATTATTTCTGCCAAATTAATATTTGCCAGTTGTCGAGTAATTGTTACATTAGCCATTTGTAATTGTCGTTTCAATGCAATTTCTTTATTACATTCCAATGAAATTGCTGATTTTGTTGTAAATGCAATCGGAATACTATTATTGCATATATTAATTGTCAACGATTTATTAGCATCAGTAATTAATTTTGATTCCAATTGTTGTGACATATTAATATTGCATTCATTGATTGCAAAAGTATTGAAAATGAAATGACCACCATAATTTGATTGAAAATATATTCCTTCAATTTCTTCCATTAAATTTTCCTGTTTAAATTGATAATTGGAGCATTCATTTTCCACGTTAATTTCACGTAATTTCCAATACATATTATCACCATGATTAGCTGCTATCATCCTTTGACATACTTCAATCACTTCAGCAATACGTTGAATATTGGCGCAAATTGTAATTTCCATTAATTTTGATTCAATTATATTAATTGGAATAATTTTTAAATTATTTTTAGCAGCAATTGTTGTTGATACATTCATAAATGCATCACGTCGTTTCTCCAAAATCCATTGCACCAATTTTTGCTCATTTGTTGTTGCAAATGTTATCAGAATAGTTGGCTCAATATTTCGTGCCAATTGTACAATTATCTCTGAAATTTCCATTGAACTTTCTTTCATATAATTTAAATTAACAGTTAATGCAATTGTTTCACATTCTTGCATTATCATTAGCTTCTTCAATAATAATTTTTGATAAAAAATCCAATTGATATTATCTACACTTTCCATTTTTTGTAAATTTATTTGCACAACAGTAGAATCTGATTTGATGTTGATAAATTGATAAGAAATTGGTGATGGATAGCAATTTTTGCATGCTATCAATTGATTACAATGTGCAATTCTAATAAGATTACTTGTAAGCTCTCTTTTAGCATTTATTTCGTATTCTTCCGAAGCATTCGTTATGAGATTTAATTTACCACCAAATCGTTTTTCTTTTATTATCGTTTCCACTTCTATTGCTTCAATTTCTTGTTTAAATTGCAAATAGCTAATTTGTCTTATATCGGTTGTTTCAATTAATTTTACCTCAATATTAATACCTTTATTAGCTTCTTTAAGCAATAGAAATGCTTCATCGATAAATGATAATCTTATCAAATCTTTTCGAATTTCTTCCATTACTTCAGTGATAGATTGTACTGATAATACTGGTACAATTATTGGAGTTATCATTTGCTTTAGCATTTTTGCTGTACATTCAAATGCTTCAGCTTTTTGATATTCAATTTGACGAGATATGAATGCTTCCTCTGCAGCTTCTGTATTCAAAATAAAATGTCCACCATAATTTGGAACACTCCAAGCAATCGTAAATTTCAATGAAGCTTCTTTAATTTTAAACTGTGCATGTACAGTATGAATAATTTCGTTGATTTCTCGAAAATATCTTTTAATTGGTTCCCCTCTTCGAGAGCAATAATATTGTATTGTTGCTATTTGTGGCATTTGTGGCGCTTTTGTTCGATTAATATCTACCAGTATTACTTTTGATGTTGCCGCTAGCATATCCATTGTTGCAAAATTTTTGGCGCTCTCTTTGAAAACTTTATTAATTGCTTCATTTGCAATTCGATGTGACATTATCATGCTAACATTGCTATCTTCTATTCTTGTCGCTTTTGTTATCAGTTGATAATTACCACCAAAACGTTTGTCAGTAAAATTACCCTCTGTTTCATACATTTCACTTTCTTCATTATACTGAAATCCCATAGTGATAAAATTTTGTTTGGTTTCTTGCAACCATACTGATAAGCATTCACCCTTATTTCCAATAATTATCACAAAAGTAGTAGCTTTTTCTTGTGGTACTATCCTAAATTCATCGTATCCATTTACAATTTCTTCTTTTGTGGTACTTGTCATTAGCATTTGTGGTTCTGACTTTTGGCTTATGATAATTGTTTTGTTAAATTCATCAAATGATATTTGTTTGCATGCTATTTGTGCATAAATTGTTATCTGTTCTTCCACATATTCTATCATATCAATAGCCATCTTATCACCTTTTCTAATTTCAGGCCATACTAATTCTACCTCCAACGATGCTAATAATTGTTTTCCTTGCAATTTCACATCCATATGAAATTTTTCATTCTCAGCTTGTTCACATTCAAAAATTTCCATTTTCATCCAATTAGCCATAGTTTGAATTGTTTGAATATATTCTTCCACTAAATTTTGTTTCAAACAAATTTCTAAAATTGTATAATTTGTTTTATCCTTGTTCTCGTCACATTTCACGTATAATGGAAGTGCTACGAGAAATTGTTGATCACGGCAAATATATTCATTTGCTGATTGTTTCGGTAAAATATTTGATACACGATGAAGATTAATTATTGCGTTTAACTTTTCCAAAATTGTTTCGTACACGTTTACGTCTAATGTATCATAATTTTTATCATTCCATAATATCTCGTAATTTTCTTTCTTTTCATAATTTTCCAATTCTATTGTCACCTCATTAAATTCAATTTGTAAATTACATTGACAATGCTCGTTTACAATGATATTTCTGCTTTTGCATATTTCCAAATTACATTCCGTTGCTATCCATTTTTCATCAATTGAAATTTCTTCTTCGATAATTGCTATTGTTGACAATTTACTCACAATGTTATGCTTATGTTTTAAGCTTACTTCTGCTTCTAAATCTCGATCAACAGTAGTCCATTGTGATAAAATTTCAAAACCTTCCGAATTTGTTTCTCTCATTTTTTCACGTACACTATCCGTATGCATTCCTTTCAAAGTACTCTCCGTTTCAGCTAATACTTTACGTGAATTGATTAATTCAACATTTTCTTGTAATGCTATTGCTTTCGCATAATTAGTCTCCAAATTGACGACACTTCGATTGATAACTGATTTACAGATATTATCTTCCACTTCTAGATTTGATGCCGGAATGGAAAATTCCACATTTGCTTCATTGGTTATTTCTTGAGCATGCTGTGCTTCAAAATGTTGTGTTAACGTTAAGATAATGCCAATAATATGTGAAGCAGATTCCGTTGTTTGCGTTGCGGAACGGCGTATCAATAAAATTCCAGCATCTGCTTGTACTGCGGTACTTTCCGCTATGAATTCAGTCAAATTTTCCGCATGTAATATTGCTTTTTGTTGTACACTTTCAGCAAATAATTCTTCTTGTTGACGTGCCAAAATGCTTTCATTCATTTTACATTCTATTTTAAATTGTCTTTCACCGCCTGAAACAGCGGTGTTTGTATGAAAGTGTGCGAAGGCATTCTCATCAACTGATTTCATATAAAGCATTTGTTTACATTCCAAACAAATTTCCTCACTAGCTTTAGTATTAAGCGTTATTTGCTCACGGTTAAATTCACAAATATTAATAGCAATATTTGAATCGTTCACAATTGTATTCCATATTGCATCTACAAATTTTGTTACTTCATTTTGTGCAACATATTTTTGCTCATCGAGAATCCATTCTCGATTTATATCATTTTGAATAATTTTTAATGATTGTTGTTGTGATTGTTTATCAAATATCATTGTATATGTTTCGTTAATTTCTGAACAGGCAGCAATATTTGCAATAATTTTTTCAGCATTTACTTCACGTAGAATACGTTTAATCATTTCAATTTGTTCAATTTTTATCAATGATTGTTCCAATTCCAAATTTTCGTTGCATTCTCGACTAGCTTCTAAATTCAAATATTCCTTCCAGTATTGATTAATGCTTCTTTTTGATATTTCACTTGCATAATTTTCAATTTTTTCCATCATAATTTTTGCAAAATGAACAATAGTTTCGGTTGAGATAGAATTAAATTCTTGAAAAGATCCAATTTGCTTCTCAGAATATGCAATAGTAATATTTATTGTTTCATTAGTTATTTGTTCATCAAATTGTTCGAATACAGTTTCAGTGTTTTCTTCAACAATTCTCCACTCACCAATTTCAGATGCATGCAATTTAAGAGAAATTGTTTCATTTGTAAATTCCATAAATTCCGGTTTTCCGATTTGCTTGTTAATTTGAATATTTTCTTGCTTAATTGCATCAACGTTGCATGTTATCTCTTTCAATTCTACATATACTTCAGCTGATAGCGCATTCTCATCCCATTGCGCCATATATTGTTGATGTTCATTATCAAATTCATGAATGCATACAGAAGTCCTTTCACGTTTCTCATCCGGAAAAACACGTCCAACGCTTGATATATGTTCCACTTGTGTTTTTAATACACTCATTAGTGTTCCTTTCAGATTTATAATGAATTTCACAATTGGTTTTTGCGCAATGCTAATAAAACTTTCAGCCGATTCCGCATTACGATTGCATTTTAATTGTATATCCAACAAGACAGATTCGAAATTAGCAAACTTTGTGTCAAAATAACTTTTAAGTTTTATTGAAGTAGCAAGTTGCACTTCAACTTTTTCTGCTATTTTCTTCTGTTCCAATTTTGCGAAGAAACCTGTAATTACTGTTTGCGCTGCGTCATATTCCATAATATGTGCGCTAATTTGAATAATTTCCAAATCTCGCATTACACTACCGCATTCCTGAGCGGAAGATTTCTTAAGCAAAGAATATTCTCGACTTTCAGAAGCTATCATTAATTGCTTTTCATCAGTGGTAGATATTTTCAAAGAGCGCTTTAGCTCAATACTATCAAAATGATCGTCCATTTTTCCAATCATTCCCGAAAACTCAACATTCTGTTCCGTAATTGCTATAGTAGATAACTTTTCCGTTTGCGTTTCTCCGATTGGTATCAATTTTTCCGTTGATGCTCTTCTTATAACTTTATTCCATCCAATAGCTAATACTTCATTCTCATGTTCAGTTTCCGGATACTTAGCATATGTATTCTCCGTTCTATTACTTTTGATACTTGATGATATTTCCAGAAAACTATTCCGATTGCTTTCTAAAATTGTAGACTGTTGCGTGATGAAACTTTCAGAAATTGATTGCAAATTCATACGTTCTTGAACATTCATCTCTTCCGGAACAATCGTCCATTGATCTATTTGATCAGATAAAGTAATATTTTGCGTAATATTTTCACTTGCGTGAATCATAAGTTTATCAGCAATAATTCTGGTACATTCTTGAGCCATTTCCTGAACTATAATCTGCTGATATAGATCACTTGAATCAGTTAATTCCTGATTATATTCTCTGATATTTGCTATTGTAGTTTCAATATTAGACATTTTAAGCGTTCCTACATATTCCATTTTTTCCTCAAATTTATGCAATAATTGTTTGCTGTATTCTTCAGAAAATGTAAAATTCTCTGTTGTTATGTTAAATTCTGGAATACAAAGGTGAACTTCTATTCCGGATAATGTTTCCTGATAATCAACGAAGTTAAAAGAATTGTTGATTGATTCTTTTTGAGTTGCCTGATAAATTATTTCTTTTGCTTCTTCTTCTTCTTCTCTTCCATTCGTTGTCAACGTTGTTTGATGACAATTTCTTAATTTACATTCAATGTAAACATTTTCAGTTGCTGAAACTTTTTCCATTTCTAATTTCAAAATATTTGTATTTAAATTTGTGGAAATCGGAACGTTTTGATCTATTTGAATTGTATCAGTAATCTTTTCATGTTCAATTTGATTAAACTTTTCTTCCATTTGTGTTTCTACATATTTTCCAAAATTCCAATCTTTCGATATAATTTGACGTATAGATAAAACTTCTTCTCTCATTTCTACTATTTTTTCATTTTCATTCCTGATCAATAATTCCTGATCAATTTCCTGATCAATCTTTGCAATTTCTTCAATTTCTTCCTTTAATTGTTTCATCTCTTCTAGCAATTCCATATTTCGATTAGTTTCGAATTGTTCTTCTATCTGTTCAAATTCTTTTATAATTTTCTTCTCTTCTTGCATCATTTTTGTTTCCATCATTTTTTTCTCATTTGGCGCAAATTTAGGTGGAAAATGCGCAATAGCATCAAATCGAGTGTTCCTTTCATTGAAATTAATCTGATTGCTACTCTCTTCAAATGTTCTTTTATTGTCTGATACCTGTAAGGTAGTAAACAATTCATTGTTTACTGATTCACTTTCACTCCATGCTTCCTTAGTTGATGTTTTAATTTTATCAAATTTAGTCATAGCATCATTTTGACTTACATCTTGTTTTTTAACTGATACAAGAAAAGGTTGTGAAGCTGTTTGACAATAATCAATTTCACTAATATTATCATCTAATTTTTGCTTTTGTATTTTTGAAATTTCTGTTCTGGTGTCAAATACGGTTATGTTTACCGGTTTTAATATCATATGCTCAATGGTTTCGTTAGTTTTTGTAGTGCTAGCAATTGTTTCTTGAAATATTTCATTCTCACATTCGACATTTATCGATGATGGAATCTGAGTTTGAATATTTCTTTCAGGTATTTCCCAAAATGTTGTTAAGTGTTTTTCATTTGATTCATTTACATTTTCGTAATTTTCATTTTCCTTTCTCATAACTGATGTTTCCGTTGTTTCGCTTACATGATTTCCGGTTACGAATATAGATGATGATTCATACTGTTCCGATTTTCCAACTTTAACATCATATTTGCATAATTCCGGAATAGCATCATATTCATCATCGGTTGCTACTAGAAATTCTTTTAATGCAGTTGCTTCAAGACTATTGGTCAACGAATGTGTCATATGTAAATTCATTTTTTCTGAATTTACCATTTCGGAATGTTTCATACGATTACATGTAGCATCTGAAATATGGCTTATTTCATCGAAAAATGCTTCAGAATTCTCTTCCAACGATGATTCAAGTAAATCACCAACTGATTTTGATATTTGTTCGATATGAGTTTGTTTCTGTCGATAATATGATTCTGTGATTGTAGTACTCCAACTTTGTTCATCTGAGAAATATTCACTTGTTGTTATACTGCGATCTCTTACGAAAGTAAATTGCGTTTCACGTTCTGGTGTCGCAAGTAATGTCGTATCAAGATTAAAACCAGCATTAAGCATTGCAACACGTGTTTCACTTGTATTATTATAGAAATTTCTCTTCAATTCATCATTTTCTTCAATTTTATCTCTTTGTTCATTTCTATTATTAAATTCAAATTGAATTCCATTTTCTGCGTGTTTTTCTTCATTTTTTCCTTGTCGAGAAATGTACAGCTTTTGTTGCTCGGATGGAAATTCTTGCAAATGTATTCGTTCATATTCAAATTCCTTCGTATCATTTTTAAATTTCATTGTTGTTTTATCAACTTTATTGTTGTCTTGTGATATTGATTCTTTCCATCGATTTACATTTTCTGACACATTTTGCAAATTGGAATTTGATATATCGGAAATTTCCATCATTTTGAAGTTATCACTTATGTATGAATGATTAATTATTCTATTTGAGTCGATATCATCGAGCAATGACAAAGAACTGTTTCCATGAGATGATGAATTAATGAAATTAATTTTTGTATTCCATTGTTGTTCTTCTTCCTCTTCTTCTTTTGTATGCTTTTTTCTATCATTTATATTATTTGAATTCATAGTTGAAATCAATTTAATAGGTATCACTCGAAGCTCATGTTCTGATAACATTTCATTTATATCATTTGCGCCATCTGTCTTAGTTTCATCCGCATCTATAATTTGAGATGATTTCTCCACATTTAAAATTGTTTGTGTAGATGATTGCTCATATTCTATGTTGATTATCAGTAAAAAATGATAATTCAATTTCATTTTGTTGCATCCATTGTAAGCAATGATAATGATGATAAGCCTTTTTTTATTTCATTTCATCGCTTAAATTACTAAATGACCAATTGAATTGTCATTTTACCTTAATGCTTATCTCATCTGTATAAGTAAGCGTACAAAAGATAGCCAAAAAGTATCAAATATCTGCTAATTTTAGCCATCACTTATTTCATCAAAGTGACATAATTCATTTACAATTTCAACTTTAGCACTTTATGAAAATTTCTCGAATCTTTGATTATGTGTCATTGATTGAAACATTCATAGAAGTAGTAGTAGTGATAATTAAGGGAATAATTTTATGTGCTTTACCGTAAGTTGGTAAAATAGTTTTAAAATTGAATAAATGAAAATGTTTAGTTGTTGTATTTATATTTGTTAAATTAGTGATTAAAAAATTAGTGCTGGCAATAGCACCAAAAGAATTGGTGAGCAATTCAAAAATATTAAATGTATTGGTAGTAGTGATAGTAGAAGAAGTAGTAATAGTAGTAGTAGTAGTAGAAATGATATTTGACCTACCTGTCACTGCTTCAGGCCATTCACGTTGCACTTGACCATGCGTGATACCTGCACGTTGTAACAGAATAGCTACGTGTTCATTTTCATCACCAAATTCTGTGACTGTTAGCTGTTCTTTCCGTTTTATACGTTCCAATAATCGTATAGTTGTAGCTAGCATTTTTGTGCTTCGATTCAATGATACGTTTGAAATACGTTCACTTTCATGACTAGCTCGTGAGCAAAGATTAACTTTGCATTTGTGTGCGTCTTTTACGATAAATTCCGTCATAAGCGTATTAGCATATTTACTAATACATCCAATACTTAGCATAATTATTGTTGCTTCTTCTGTAGTAGCTTTTGTTTTTAGCATATGTCCACTGGACAATCGTGAAATTTGACGTACGTCATCACAGGACATCATTATTGTGGTAGCAAATTTATTTTGCATATAAATTACCACTGTTTCATTTGCTGATTGGAATATTTCAGCAGTGAATGTCATATGCAATAAATTTGGTATTGCACGAATGCAGCACACATTTTGACATGCAATAGTAGATGAAATAAATTTCAAATAAATTTGTGCCTCTTCCTCACTGGATGCCAAGAATTTAGCAAATTCTCGATGAATTATTTTATCATTCCAACAGCAAATATTATGCTGGAAAATATCATCCAGATTAATTGATTTTTGAATTGTTATAATTGCATTACTAATTACAGCACTCATTTCTTGTATTATAAATATTTCCTTAGAAATAATTCTTGTTGCAAGTGTAGCAACTACCTCTTCTTTTTTACCATCAGTGCTAACTTGTGTGATTAAATTAATAAATTCAATTGGTTGACTTTGTTGAAAATGTTTTGGTGAGCTACGTTGATCATTTGAAATAATTATTGCAACTTCAAATTCACCACGTGCTTCTTGCTTCATCAAATTTAAATATGTTGAACCACAGCTGGTAAGTTCATCATCTGAAGCTGATTCTGATTCCAATAAAATTTGTCGTTTCTTTTTTAAAATCATTTCACCCTCAAAATATTGTCCTTTTTGTTGCATACCATAACTGCTACCTTTTGCTTCATGAAATTCATATGACTTTTCAATATTTAATTGATTATAATCAATACGTGGAATAGCAAAATTTGCTAAAATTGCTGATGTATCAGCCATTCGACGTAAATCCAATTCTGTAATATTTAAAACAGGAATTTTCACCGGTTCAATTATTTGTGGTTTTTCGAACAAAAAACTTGGCTCTTTTTGATTATTAATCATCATTTTTTCATCGATTGATTCAATTGAGTCGAAATGTTGTATACGTCGAATAGTTGTCTCACCGGAATATTGTTTTCCGTGTTGCTCTATACCATATTTAACAAGATTTGGTAATTGTGAAATAATACGTTCACGTATTAATGATAAAACAGCTGAGAAAACGTTTGGTACTGCAACGTTAACTTCAATAAATGAATGATCTTCCATACGTTTTAAATTACATTCTAAATTAGTATAAATAGAAGGTAATAATATATATTTGTCATTCAGACTTTCTGATGTTGTCGTTACATCTGAATTAGTTCGTTGATAAGGTCGTCGTCGTCGTATTTCAGAATGACCTTTATATTGATGACCTTCAACAAGAAATTTAATATCAGATGATGATTGATTAATTATTGCTTCATTTTTTAGCATTTTCGTCTCATCAAAATTTTCTGATAATGATATCATTTCATGTTTGTAATTGCTATGTGATAATTCATCATCCGTTGTATTAATTGTTGTTTGATCGATCGAGAAATCTTGAAGAAAATCATTTCGCTGTCCAATAATATATGTTTTTAGAATTTTTGTCACATTCTCAATTACTTCTACTTCAACTCGTGTTTTTGCTGTTGTTGTTGTTGTTGTTTTCTTTTCATCATGTTGATTTAACATTTCCATATCATGCAACAATCGTTGACTTAGCAATGACAAATATTTAGCTTTATCCTGAAAATGCAAAATTTTTTTTATTTAAATTTTTTATTTCAAAAAAAGTGTAGAATTTTCTATTTGTTTATTTGTTTATTTTCTTTTTTACATCTAAATATGATAGTTGAATTTGATTCTATAACATATTTGATATATAATAATTAACATTCTAAAAAAAGAAGTGTTGAAGTTGTAATTTAAATTTTCAAAAAAGGTGATAAGAATTGATTAATTCGACTAGTTTTTACTATTTCATTACTAATTAGTTTTCACTTTTAGTTTTTACTAATTCATTTTATTTTAATGTGATGAAATTTATGACTTAAATAATAAATTAGATTGACTTTGTTTTCTTTTTTTTTCACACATTTAAATACGATATTTGAATTAATCAATCATTCTACAACATATTTGATATGTAATAATTAACATTCGAAAAAAGAAATGTTAAAATTATAATTTAAATTTTTAAAAAAAATGATATGAATTGATTAATTTGATTAGTTCTTTGCTAATTCATTTTATTTTATTTAAACAATAAATTAACACTAACTACATTCGATGGTATTTGAAAATCAGCATTATCTCGTGTTTTTAATTGATCATTTTCATAAAAACTCATTTTGAAACTTCCATCGCGATTTTTATCATTCGTTGATTCGTCTTCCATAATTATTGTACGATTTCCTAATGTAGTTTTTACCTGTAAAAATAAAATTACTATCAATTAATTTATTTAAAATATTGTAAAACAAGAACAACAACAAGAAAAAAAAAAGCAAATAAAAAAATTTACAAAATAAAAAACTTTAAAAGTAGCATTATTATTTAATATATTTTTGAATGAATAACAAAAAGATTAATTTATTATTTTTAAAGTTTAAATTTAATTAACAAATACAAAAATATGAAAGAATACTTTATAATGAGTAATAGTATCATGTATTGTCCATGCACTACATGTACAATGCTCAACAGATATAAGATCTGCCCCAACAACTTTTTCCATTTTTAATTTGCCTTCCACTGTTGTTCGAATGATTGGTGGTCCTTGTCTGTAAACATTACAATTATGAGTTTTAGAGAAGAAATAAAGTTCATTTCAATCTTAATTTCATTCAATGATTTATGAAGTAAGTTTCAACTTAAATTCATTTAAAAAAGTTATGAAGTAAATTTCAACCTTAATTTTATTCAAAGTAAGTTTTAACTTTAGTTTATTCAAAGAATTATGAAGTAAGTTTCAACTTAAATTCATTCAAAAAAGTTATGAAGTAAATTTCAATCTTAATTTTATTCAAAGTAAATTTTAACTTTAGTTTATTCAAAGAGTTATGAAGTAAGTTTCAACTTAAATTCATTTAAAAAAGTTATGAAGTAAATTTCAACCTTAATTTTATTCAAAGTAAGTTTTAACTTTAGTTTATTCAAAGAATTATGAAGTAAGTTTCGACTTCAGTTCATTCAAAGAGTTATGAAGTAAGTTTCAACTTAAATTCATTTAAAAAGGTAAGTTTTAACTTCAGTTTATTCAAAGAATTATGAAGTAAGTTTCGACCTCAGTTCATTCAAAAAGTTATGAAGTAAGTTCCAACTTAATTTCATTCAAAGATTATGAAGTAAATTTCAGCCTTAATTTCATTTAAAGAGTTACAAAGTAAATTTCAACCTTAATTTCACTTAAAGAGTTATGAAGTAAATTTCAACTTAATTTTATTCAAAGAGTTATAAAGCAAATTTCAACTTTGCAAATGAATGGAATGAACAAGAAGAGATTTTGAAGTTAAATAGATGCAAAATTGTATTAACCTTTTTTGATTAGTATAAACGGTAACTGTTTGATGTCGCCGTCCTTCTTCATCAGTATATGCTGATGTATCAGTAGGACCAAGATCACTTAATCGATTGCTATCCCATGAAAAAGCATTTAATAATTTCATCATTCCACCATCCTATAATTTAATTTTATTATTTTATAATTTAATTATGCAATCATTAACAAATTAAAGTATTATTTATTGTAACGATCGAATAAACACAAATATACAGCAAAGTAAAGTTTTTGCAGTAAAGTAAAGTTTTTACAAATAGCACTTCTAATTGATATCAATTAAAGTTAATATCTTTAAAAGTTATAAATTAAATTTCAATATGTTAAATATTAGAAAAAAAAAATTTTAACCTTTGCCCTAATAACTTTATTCATTGATGTAGTAGATGCAGATTTTGGGATGCGATCGGATGCATGCAGCGGACGTGAACTACTGCTATACCAAATATCTGGTGGCTGTGAAGAAAGACGTAATAAATCATGAGTGGCTTCATCTAATGCTAATGATGCATCACGACTTGAACGTGTTGGTGACTGTAATTTTTACATTTTTTGGTGACATATTTGGTGACATATTTTAGATAAAGTATAAATATAATAAATTATCAATAATAGAATGAATGTATTTTAAAATAAGTGCTAATTTTTTTTGTTGTATATTTATTTTGA